TTTTGTTCGTACTTCTTTCTAGCACCATATTGAACTTTTCACACATGAATTTTGTTATTTGTTCCCATTTCTAAAATGTCAGGAAATACTTGTTGGATGGTGTAACACAGAGGCTAAGCACAGGCTTCAAATTCAGCCTTCTCTGTTTACTAACCCTGTGATCTTGGCATATTATTTAACCTCTCTGTGTATCAGTGTCTCCATCAGTAAAATGGGTAATTATCTCACAAGATAATTGCCAGCATTAATAAAATTAATACACATTGCTTGCTTAGAAGTACACTTAGAAAACAGAAAGAGCTCAACATGTAACAGGAGAATTTTTTTGGTAAGGACATAGTTTTTTGAACAGCATGGCAGTAAATAGCTTAGTTGACAAATCTGAAACTTAGGATTTTAATTTAAGAACAACAAAAGTCATTTTGTTTCACAGAATACATTTTATGCATATGGCTAAAGAAATGAAAATTTCTTTATATTTCATATGGCCACATGAAGATTAGAAATAATTTATTAGAATTATGTTTTTTACATTTAGTTCAATAATAGCTTGCAATTGGTAATAGTTCATAATGTGATTTATTATATGACTGTGTCTTGTTTCTTCGAGGGCAAGGATTAAACACACTAAGAGACTGAAGTTACAATTATTATTATCCATTATCATTATTAATTGGCATCTTGTACATAGATTCTGGGTAAATATTCAATAGATTCTTCTATCTCATTTACTTAAAACACACTTTTTTTTCCAGAAAATAATTAAAGATTTTTGGTGTTGAGGAATTTCTTTCTTTTTGATAGAAACTCATTTGATTTTAATATTGATTACAAGGGCAATGTCATCATTAATTGGTTATTATACTAAACTCTTTATTTGCATTTCTCCACTTAATCCCTTCAACACGGGTCATTTCCCTGGCCTCTACTCACTGACTTGAGCAGTCTCTACCAGCATTTATTTCAGAACCTTCTTTGCAGGGTGTTGACTCAGTCTTCATCTCCTACTTAAATAGAAGAAGTCTGCTCTGGACGATGTATACCTTCTTAGTATTTTGTCTAGTGTTAGTTTTTAATTTGAATATTTTGATATGCAGTAAGTGGATATATCTTCTGCATAAAATCATGCACCATCTCACCAAATTCCTAGGTGCTTATTGAAAGAAGAGATGAGGCAAAAAAATTACATTTTGTAGAAAACTGTTGTGATCCAAAACTAGTAGGCCCTTTGGAGATGACTGTTTGATGATTTGCTAAATCAATATAAAATTTTATTTAACAACTATAATTAACAGCCATAATATCACATACATACATTTTACACTTTTTAATAATTGTGGCTGGTATTCACATAGGATTCAGACCAAGGACTATGAATGATTATCAGATATCCATTTCCTTGATAGGGAAAATTTTTTAGAAGTGCAGAAACTTTTAAATAGGAATCCCCTATGAGCAAAGAAATAACCTTTTTTTTTAATGACCATCAGTAATCAGAAATAAAATTTCTGAGTAAAAATACTTATTTATTTATTTATTATTTTTGTAACCTTCAGTTGTGGGTCTTTTCACTTTCCCTGTTAAACATAAATAAACTAGTTACCATTTTTTTTTTTATTGTGAAATGAAACTGAGTCTCGCTCTTGACTGCACATTGGAATTTCATGAGGTAGATTAAAAATTAAACTACTATTGTCTGGACCCCATAAGCTAGTTCATCAGGGGTGCAGTTGGTAATCACCTCTCCTAAGTGATTTTAATGTGTAGACAGAGTTGATATACATGGCTCATTTCAGGAGAAGTCAACAGGATATGAAAAGCTATTTTTCACTCAACAACACTAAATGCCATCAGAAATTGTTTACATTTCCCTACTTTATAATACCATAAAAAATACCTTCAACAATTCTCTGTTATGCAATTTTCTTGTAATATCTTGTTGTGAAACTTGAAAGTATGAAACTTTAAGAATTTGAAAGAGGTTCTGCTTGGGCGGATCAATTCTGATTAGAATACAGGTGATATGGATTCTGGGGATCCTCCAACTTACTTTGATTGACCTTGGGGAAACATATGGCCTTTTTGGTCTTCAAATTCCTCCCTAGGACATTCCCCTAGTCCCAGGCCTTTTATAAATATATAATATATTTTATATTTATAAATGGACACAATATCTTTATTTTGTTTATTTATTTTTATGTGGTCCTGAGGATCGAACCCCGTGCCTCACATATGCAAGGCAAGCACTCTGCCACTGAGCCACAACCCCAGCTCCTTTTGTAACATTTTTAAGTTCTTGAAATCTTTAGAGTTCTGTCTAGGACAACTCAATGTCATTGTTTTAAATAACCCGAGAAAGGGTATTTTTTTTTTTTTTTAACAGAATAACCACCAATGGTATCTTTTCTTTAAAACTTAATGACCTTCCCCATGGGACAAATTTTTCATGCTGCCAGAGAAGTAAATCCCTATTCTTCCTTTCATATAAACTCTCCTAACATTCAAAAATATTGCCTCCCATTAAAGCTCCTGAAAAGTCCTTTTTCCTCATAACCATTGTATTGCAATAGACCAGGGCACAGGCAATCTGGTTTGATCCCATTAAGTAGAAAGAAACTTCAAAACTGTGCTCCATGCCATTTGGACAAATTTCAACTTCTCTGTTAACCACCATGAATTAGCTTCATACCTCAGTTGACTATAACATAGAGCATCAAAGCCATTTGGCTCTCACATAAGACTGCCAGCACTTCCGATTCTCCTTTCTAAGCATGATCTCAGGATTTTGTACATGTATAGTCATCACTGCCTAGTGCTTAAGAAGTCACAAGTCAAGAGGGCAAGCGGCTTGACTGCCATTAATTTTCTTCCAAAAATGTTAACATATGAAACATAAAAATAGTAGTAAGTCATTTTCTATTACTTACATTCTGCCTTTCAAATTTGCTTGCTAAAGAGAAACAGAGCAGACATTGCTCATGAAGGCTGCACACTTGAAATGGACTTGGCAGTCAGCAAATGAGAAAACAGTGCATGGTGACATGTATGCATTGCATCTGTTCACAAATACGAGTGGCATCGTTTATATGAACCTTTTACATATTGAAAATTGCAAAGACTCCTGCTGTGCTGTTCCTTTTGGGAAGCCGGCTGGTATGTAGTGTTTAATTAAGTATTTTAAAACCATCCTTTTGTAGGCCTGTTCCACTTTAGCTAAAGTTATGACAGCTTGTCTCTGTTAGTTTAAAAAAAGAAGGCATAGTTTATTTCCCTCTCTCTCTCCTTCTCTCTTTCTCTCTCTCAGATCCAGGATATTAGTATTTTTTCAGTGAAGTAAAATAGTCTATTTTAGAAATGTAGAAAGAGTAAGTTTAACTGTGCTGTCAACTTAACACAGTACCAATGTAAATAGATATATAAAAGAATAATTTGATGTGAAATCTGTCTTTTAGTATAATAATAATTTTAATAATGATGCTGCACTATTGTTGAAATAAAGCTATATTTTCTCTTTTTCTGCCACTTTTTCAGTGTAATGGAACATTCACGGTTGGGAAGAAGTCATCACATAAGTAGTCATTTTCTCCATATCCATTAATCCTTTCCCAGGTATCTCATTCATCTAGCAAACATCTCCTTGGTTAGTATTACAAACTACTTTTGTTCTTTTCTTACACTTTTTTATTCATTGTTTTCCACATCATGTTTGTCATGGGGAAAGAAAATCACATTTACTATTTCTTTCCCTCCTCACCCCCCAGCTTAAGCTCTATTATAAAATTGAAAACTAAATGAAAAGTCACTTCACGTTGCACTCGAATTATACACCTATTGTTCTCAACAAGGTAAATCTTAAGTCTAAATTCCATTATCTAGTGTAAGAACTATTTTAATTCAATCTTGGGAAAATACTCATACTTTATAGATACGACCTATAATTTCTTTCCCCTGACTTTTGTGTTTGGCAGGAGTTCTCAAACTTTGTTCACAATTTTAATGGAGCTGCTTTCATTATTTAATAACTACAATTTGGGAATTATCTGGAATAGCATCCCAAAGTGAAATTGATATGACTTAGCTGGGTTAGCCAGGTTCCAGGAAATAGAAAATAGTCACATAGCTGTCGATGCTGTTCTTCATAACCCATCCCTTTACCTCAGATTTCTGAGATATATAACTTAAGCTATTTTGCCAGAATCTACTATTTCTGTACTGGTCACTGATAGCAAAGTGATAATAATTTGGGGGAACAATTTTCCTCAAGTTCCTAAAATTTTAGTCATTCACAACAAAGAAAGAAAGAAGGAAAGAATGAAAGAAAGAAAGAAAGAAAGAAAGGAAGGAAGGAAGAGAGACAAACTTCTAAAGGTACTCAGAAAATCCAGGGCTTACAGCTGGTTTCAGCAACTTCAACTTGCGCAAGACCCCATGTTTGTGAAAACAACCCAAGAATCTTTGAACAGGATGTAATCAACCTCTGAGCTGCTGAGAAACATTGCAAACATGACTTCAGCTGCCAAAAATAATAATGTCGTTTGCGAGCAGCTCTTCCTATATCTAAGGAAGAACTAACCACACGTGTGAATTTTTGCTGGCTTAGGAAGAAGGAACAAGGAAAATGACAAATCCCACCCACCCCACCCTAAAATGCGCAGGGAGTATCAGAATCCTGTGGGAAGCTGTGGCCCATTCCAAAAGGTGCTGGCAATGTTGAGGAAGATTCAGATCCACAAAATTCCAAATGGTAAGTGACCCAGGACAAAGGGATTTTATTTGGCAGCTAATCTGTGTTGTCACTTTCCCTGCATAGCCAAGCTGCACTGTCTTGTGAAGGCAGAGCTGTTAAATACCTCTTAGTCAACAGTCCCGACCCAAATCTTCCTTCTTTTTCTTTTTTAAATTTTATCTGGCATCTTCCCTTAAAGAACTTCCAGGGTTCAGAAGGGAATATTCACAAATAATCCTTTAGATAAGTTTCATCACAAAAGCCCTGCACCTACCTCTGTCAAGTCTTAGCTGCTCAGTCTGCATGGGCTGGATGTGAAAAAAGATCCGGTGTGATGGCTTCTCCAAATTTACCAGAAAGGACGGACCTGGGATGCTTGTCCTTTAAGTGTCTCTAAACATGGTTTGCATAGCTGGATCTCAGCTTATCTGTGCCTTTCGGCTTTCGCTTCCATACATGGATCTGTTCCCAACAGTAACTCCAAGCTGTCGAAAAGAAGCTATCTGGCAGCTCTCCGCTTCATCCAACACATGGATGATAAAAATACACATATAGAGATCTTTCCAGCCAGACCCATTCCCTACCCCGTGATCCTGCCACTATGCGTTTTTGCAAATACACTTTGGAGATTGGCATTTCTACTCTCCAGATTTTAGGAGCACAGCCAATTTCTACCTCATTTCCACATAAAGCTTTTAGGGTGTGGGTTTGTTTAGATTTAGGAAAATAGAGACATAACCATGGTTCATTCTTGAATCTTTTAGTAATAGGATGTTTATGGGACCTGAGAAATGTTTAGTGAATGAATCAATTTGTAAATGAATGGCTGAACAAATGGGTAACATTGTATGTGAATGAATAAATGTATGCAGAATGTATTTATTTAATCAGGAATGGTTGTTAACACCCTATGCCATTTGTCTTAAAGAAAAAAGTAGCAGAGGGTCAAAGTAATCAAGATCTGTAACAGAGGAGAGGCAGGTTCTTACTTAAACAGCTTCTTGTTGAGGCTACTGTGTGAATCTCATTAAGCTATTCTCTAGTACATCTTTTGAAATTCAGAAAACTTTTCTTTAATGCTAAAGACTATAAACCTGAACAGAATACTAATTGTTACATTTGTTCATCATCAGTGATAGTTTAAATGATACCTATTGTACCCTAATTTTTAAGCAGGGAATAAATTCTGCTCTGCAGAGGAAGAGGTACTCCATGAAAGGGTTGTTTAACTTTCCAGTTTTTTATTTTTTTTTATTTTTTCAATTTACCATTTGCTTTAAAAGTTTTTCTTTCTTTTTTTAATTTGTTGTTACTCCTTCATAACAAGAGGTCACAATATTGAGAGGGAAATGGGAAGAAAGAATTTCCCAGTAATGATTTTCCATTGATTAATTATTTTTTTTAAAATCATGTTAAAACATGATTTAGTTTCGTTCTCTTGTTTGAGGAAGTAAAAATAAAATTGAGGCATACGGCATAATTTATTTTAGTATATTGATAATGAAATCAGCTTGCTTAAAATATTCCAGAGGAAAAGGGGAGGGAGTAGATTAAGGATGAAGTAAGATTGGCAAAAATGATAATTGTTAAAGTAGTGGTAGGTGTATGGGGATTCATTAGATTATTTTATCTTTTTTAAAAAAATTGTTAAAATTTTAAAGAAAAGGAGTGAAAAGATTACCAAAAATATGTGTTAATAGAAAATAAGTACAAAACACACATTAAGAGCAAATTTGAGGAATCTGAAAGTTGAGCAATCCCTGTTGGAAAGAAGATCAGAACAACCACAACAAAAAAGGTGAGAATATGCTTTTTTAAATTCAAAATATTATGATATTCTGATTTCCTTCTCCCTGCTTCCCATCAGAACTATTATGCATATTATATTATATCTAAGGAAAATTAAGATGTGATTGTTTAACAAGCCAGCCTCATATAGTCTCATGCTAAACATGGTCAGGAGACATTCAATACCCCTCCTTTTTTGCCTTTTTTCTATTTTTTAAGTCCAAATGCTAGAGATTTATTTTATTGTGCCTTATAGCCAGGAATGACCGTGTAAGAGTGGCCTGACTATGTAGGTGTCAACATGAGTTTGAGGGAAGTTTTTATTCATCTGCCAAATGCGGACAGGCTGAGCATTTGCTCCTCTTATTCCTGAACTCTTCTCACCTATTTCATTCCCAGAGAGCAAACTTGAAGCCATATGAAGGGGGAGAAAACCCTCATATTTAATACAAAATCCAATTCTATATTATGAGCTCAGGACTCAAATTAAAAGACTATGTCTGGGTTCTTGCTGTTACTTGTATATTGTTGAGCACGTCACAGATTATGGTTTCCTCCTCAATCAAGCGAACACTTGATCTCCTTAGCACAGACTTATGATATGAAAGAATGTAGGTGATGCATCTTCATACATAATAAGGAATGATATCAATGTAAGGTATTGATTATTTAATATATGAGTAGTCAATACATAAGACCCACAGTGACTCCATAGCTAAATATAACAAGGCTCTGGAGTCTGGAGTCTGCTTTCTGTTCAGAGAAGAATTTGCAGACACTTTGATTGGCTTAATTTCAAACCTCTTGGGAATTCTGCTCTGCAGTTAGGAAAATTCAAGGTATGGGGGGGGGGGTTGTATATTCCCAATTGTGTTTGTGCAGTTTGGGGTTAACAAATGAGGTTGGCCTGTTCTTAGTAATGTTTGCTGTGGAAGTGGACCGGTTTCCCCCTTCTCTTCAGATAGGCAGTACTCCAGGGAAAGGGAAGGCTCCAGAGACTCATTTCTATTCTTCTCTTTCCCAGCTGTGGAGAATGTGTGGGGTTCTTGTATAGGAAAAGATCTTCAGATAAAGAGGTTAAAATCTTATCATGTTTCCAGAGAAAGAGGTCAGATGGTTTCCTGTGAGCATTGCAAATGTGAAAATCAGGATTTTAATTTATAGACATCTATTTTCCTAACTCTGTGGGGGAAGAATAGAGTACAGTTATCTGGGCACATGCAATTTCCTGTGGGCACTTGGCTGTGACTTTCAATGGAATATTCTGCACCTTCACTCAAAAAGCTATGCACACAGCTTGCACGGTGCTGCATATTTGTAATCCCAGTAGCTTGGGAGGCTGAGGCAGGAGGATCCTGAGTTCAAAGCCACCCTCGGCAACTTAGCAAGGCCCTAAAAATCTTATTTTGAGACATCAAAATAAAATATAAAGAGCTGAGGATGTGGCTGAATGGTTAGGTGCCCCAGAGTTCAACCTGCAGTATCAGGAAAAAAAAAAAAAGTATATGTACACATCCACACCCACTTCAACTGAACCAGAAGAAAACATTCTGAATCTTTTGCCCTAGCTCAGTATCTCTTTTTTGCCTGAAGTTTTTTTTACTAACCTCACCACCAAGCATTCTAAAGCAGGGATTATGTTTGACCCCACATGTCTCTCTGCTTCGGGACATTCAATTGTGAACTTCTGGAGGATGGAGGCTTTGGGCTATTTGTTTTTTTAAATCCTCAGTGTCTATCAGTGTTTGTCCTATAGTAAACAAATCTTAAGATAAGTTTGTTGATGAATTAAATGTATTGCTAAGTGACTGAAAAATGGGTAAATGGTATTTAACTCTGAATTAGTAACCATTAATTTGGCAGATGTCCCATTGTATAAGGTAGAAGAACCTCATGTACCCTACTCTCTACCTGGATAAAGACTCAACTTCTTTTTTTTCTCTCTAGCTTTCACTTGAAAAGAGAAAGATTAGTAGAGGGAGGTGATTAAGGGTGAGAGAGGAAGGGAGGGTAGAGGGAAAAAGGGGAATAAAATCAACCAAATTATGCTATTATTTTTGTTTGAATATATGACAATGAATTCATATATTTGATGTAAAATTATAATGCACCAATGGGAGAATATGTTCAAATCAATACATGGAAAAGTAGAAGAGTAGAGGAAGTGGAATAAGGGATGGGAGGTGGAAGGGAAAATGATGTTACTGGGGAATTCATTGGAACAAATTACATTATGTGCATATATGAACGTGTCACAATGGACCCCACTCTTATGTATAATTATAATGTATTAAGAAAAGCATAAAAAGACTCAACTCAAGATAGTTAAGAAAAAGAACGTCCAAAAATATGAACCACATCCTGGGATAGCCAGGCAGGTTACCTTAGATTTTCGGTTACTCAAGGAAGTGGCCCATGATGTTAGCCTGGGTCATCCATCTGAAATGGATGCCTGACACCAATTGTTAGTAGAGAAGAAGAAGGGAGAACTGGGATATTTTAAAAGGTCACAGATATTCAATTCTTGGTGATTTAAATTTTTTCTTCCTTTGTGTATAAGAATATGGGGAAATCTTGTATGAAAGACATCAAGTTTTTAGGCAAACAAATAGGGATACATCTGCTTTCAAGATTAAAAGCAATTATATTTAACAAATAAGCAGAAATTCAAGTATATTATTTCCTATGCATATGTTTATTCTGAATTTACCAATTCAGAATCTTATAAGTAAGGGGCTAAATTCAGGGATGAGGTAATACATCTCCAGGGTGCAGGTCTTGGTTTTTTGAAGAAATAGAATTCATGACTAGACATGAGAAAAAGAGATTAAGCAAGACTCCTACTTACCACTGCAGAACTAGCTCCAAACTCTACCCCTTGAAGGTGTTCTTAATCTGTCTCCAGAACCATTGACAAAGGGAATTTAAGGTTTTTTTCTCAGCTGGGTTCCCTTAGCACAATGCCTTATGTTGTATATTGAAATGTCTTCTCTCTCAGTGTAATTGTTAGAAGACCTTGGGAAGAATTGCTATTAACTTTTCTTGAAATGTTTGGTAGAATTCATGAAGTCATCTGGGTCTTGGCTTTGTTTTAATGGACAATTTCAATCTCTTTACTTATTATAAGTCAATTCAAATTATTCTAGAGTCAGTTGTATCTTTCTAGGATTTTGTACATTTCATTAGTTATCTAATTTGTTAGCATATAATTGTTTATAGTATTCTTTTAATTTCTGTAAGAGAACACCAATGTATTTTGGGGTTTGTTATGTTTAATAGACATAATGCATACAACAACAGACCCCATAGTAAGAGGAAAAGGGAATATAATTTTATCAAATTTATCAAAATTGGCATCAGAGTAAAACTAGTTTAATTGTAGTGATATGTATTTTAGTCTCTCTGCCCCTACTATTGTATTCTTATTGTTATGCATGTTACATCTATACTGTGTATATGTAAATATATAAGTTCAAATTTATGCACTGATATTGTCTTTTATGATTACACAATTACTTTTGTGTTCACATTATGTTCTGGTGTCACTTGCTTTCAGATTAAAGAATTTCTGTTAGTATTTCTCATAAGGTAAGTCTGCTAGAAATAAATTTCTCCATTTCTGCTCATCTGTAAAAACATTTTC